GTTGAAGATCAAACAAGTGTCTGCGGAGGTTAACGAAAACGAGATTCTTCTAGAGAAAAATACTGAAACGGTAAGTGAAGAATTAGAGCTTGATATCTTAAAGCAGTTTGATCATATATTACAAGTTAATTCATACTTTTTCAATCCAACTTAGACAACGACATTGATTCAAAAGTTCAATAACAGAGCAACTTGCATTGGCATAATACCGCGAAGTGCACAGTATGCAAAGGGAGAAGATTATGAAATAAGATTGAATAAAAATGTCGAGAAATTGGAAGACATGACCAATATAAATATAACAAATGCTATTGTGGTTAGTATAGTTAAGATACATTTATAATTCATGTATCAGATAATAGGTGCCAATGTTGTTGACCCTCTGGTATATTACTGACGTCGCTTTGGTATTTTAACAGCCACTGTTATCTGATCTTCGGAACGAACTCAACAAAGAATACAATGAATTGCAAACAAAGCAGGCTGACCTTGATCATGAGATACAAAAACAAAAAGATGCAATTGCTACTAAACAAAGTGGATTGGAAGAGATTAGCAGGCAGATTAATGATTTGAATATAGCATACGAAGAAGAAAAAACGGTAAAAAATCGGTCACTTTTCACATGTTTGCATTATTTCCACGTTTCTATTAATTTACTAAAATGTTAATTAGGCAATGGATCAAGAAGCTGAAACGTCGGCAGAATACCTGAGTACAACGGCGGCTAAATTAAAACACCTGAAAATACATGGAGCAAAATCTCTAACTGAAACGCAACAGGAATATCAGCAAATACAGATCGAGTAAGTTCTATTAGTACGATAATCATATATTTATTTAACTTGCCAAGGTGTATTTACATTTTTATCTGCTAGATGCGATCGAATGGAACTAGAATATAATTCAAAAATTGAATTAGCGAATAAGCTGTGTGCAGCGATTGAAGAAAATCAACTAAAAATGAGACAACAAATTAGTGAGAGTCTTGGATCATTTAAAGCAATGACTGAGGCTGAACTTTATTCTGCCTCGAATAAATAATACTGTTAAATCGCCTATGATTATCAACTATTTAAGCGACCCTGGCGGTCTGGAACAAGTTTTGCCACATATATTTAAGAATCATCAAGTCAGAAAAGAGCTGTATCGTCGTCGTCTACTGCGATGGATTTTTTCTTGCAAATAACGCCTCCATACCACAAAACTTTAAAAGTCCGGAAAGACAGGGTACGGAATATACAAAATTCAAATCAAAATAATGGACTTTATCAAGCCATATCCGAATAAATAATTACTATATATAGGTATAACATTTACGTGTTACCGTTATAATTTCATAACAAATGGAACTCGTCCCAAAGGTTGCTGGTCCCATTACAAGGTTCTGCTATTTATATTTTAACCATTATATATAACACACTAACCTGTCGAACGGTGTTTTCCTCATTGCAAGCAGCACTGAGGCAGTAATTATATCCTGCTTTGCATACTGTCAGCATGATTCGACCCTGGTGCGATAGTCGGAATATTCAACTCTTAGGATAGTCGGAAATAGTCAACTCTTAGACATGTTTTATAAAACTTCTAGTAATGCTTGCATGTGAGAAGGTTCTTATATCGCCAAGGTGGATCAACAACCACTTTCTATCTTCAGTTCCATGAGGGGACTTAACCGATTGGGTTTAGTCAAGGCAATTAAAATAACAAAATCACAGGCATGGGTAATACAGAACGGGACACATTTGTAGGATTACATCAGCCATAGCAATAGAAATTATGAGTAGAATAGCAGAAACTGGCATGTTTTTAATGATTGTTTTTGGGATTCGTAAAGACTCGTAGATGTTAAACACGAACAATCAACCATAGTGTCAAGCTAGAGGAATGGGAGATGTTCTCTTGCAAACTTAATATTAATCCAGAACGTGCAGATAAACGCGATTAGTTGTCAAGTGCGTGAATCATTGAATCCCAAATATTTTTGGCATAAAAAGTATAATTTAGTTCGTTCAGCAAAGTCCGATGTTCCAAATGCTTGAATGATATACTCGATTCCGTCAAAAGATGTAAAATTTTGATGAACTTGCTATAGGACGATTAGTAATGTGAATGGCATATACAAAAAACTATCCGCCAATTTTAATTTTAATGCTATAATACTTGCCTCTCCAGCTGTAAATACAATTATAACGGTGGTCAAAAGTCGGTCATAATTACCAATGTTTGCAATAATGCCCATCAAACTCGAGTAAGTTTGTATCAATCACAAAACGTTACTAAAAGCATATAGTCAACCATTTGTAGAAAGAAACAATATTATTTTAAATCTAAATTATATTATTCATGTTGAAGGACTTTTATAATTAAGATGCTGAGTATCAGAATACCAAGATATCATTCTATTACATGTAGAGTTCTATGTGAGGTGATTACTACGCAAGATCACCTTATGATTGTAGCCAGCAAATGATGGTACGTGTCCAATCAAGATAGGATGAACACGATAAAAAGCCTTGTATACGTGCTATTTTTGAAGACTGTTTGAATAACAAGTCATGCAATACAAGTTGGGGTTTTTTTTGTGTATAACCGCAGGTTAATTTGTTGGGCAGCTTTCAAGCCCGCAATAGATGCGTTTGAGAGGTCTTTACGCCTACAACGGTAATTTCACCCCGTACAACGATGTAATTAAAGGTAAAACTACAACGTCACACAGTTTTCATGGATATTACTTCAAGTTCACCATATTTTCAATCCTTTCCGTTCTGTGTTCTTCCGCAGTTTTATGGGAGTTATTTATCGCGTTATCCTGCGCCGAGCTGCTTTAAAGGACATTTTAAATCAACAAAAGAAAGCCTTAATCTAACAAACTATCTTATCTGTATTTGCTTTAATATAGTCGAAACTTTTTGTATATGAACCCCAGTTAATGTGAATAGACTGTAAAGACTTTCTTGAAGCTACATACCTAACAACATTTGTACTACCAACGCTTTTTTGCTATTCCCCTTTCCATAGCCTTTTCTCTATCTTTTATTAACTTTATCTTGGCACACCAAGTAGCGTGTGCCCATACAACACTCACCCATCCTGGAACGCGACTCGCACTCCCGCAGGGCTAGAAGCAGGAGCCATTCCACATCCAGTACTCAGCATTCATCTCCTCTTACTATAGCGAACTCTGCTTCTGCTGCAGTATCTACGACCTATTCTAATCCTGCGATCTCAACCGAAGCTTCTGCATCCTACTCTTCACTCTTGACGTCGCCTTTAGATACGAGTCCCGTCTTACATAACGACGAAATTCAACGACAGACAAGAAGCGTGCATCGCCGAGACGAGTTTGAAGAGTTTCCCAATAGTAACTCGGACGAAGAACTACACAGGGCGAAACGACCAAGAATTGAGGGATTGAATACTGAGGCGAAAATAAATATGCGGATCAATCAGAATGAGAATGGAGTTGGGGGAAGTGCGAATGGTGTTTCGCACGTATCTAATGGAGATACGAAAGAATGTGCCAATGGACAGGCTGTTATTAAAAAGAATGAAAATTCAAGGAAGAAAGAGCTTGTGAGACTAATTGTGCAGTCTTTGCAGGATATGGGCTATAGGTGGATATTATATAGTATAATATAATATGTGGACTTTGGTAGACTTGGTTCATAGACGAGGATATCTCTAGCTGGAGGACGTTGAATGCTAACTCGCATCGATATTATAACTTATTTTGTCTCTAATAATTGATAGTCAATCAGCATCGTTACTTGAGAGAGAATCTGAATGTAAGCTCGAAAGTCAAGCCGTTGCGCAATTCAGGGAGGGAGTGCTGAAAGGCGATTGGGATCTTGTAGAAAGTCTTTTACCAACGTTGGAATTGGATCAGAGCAAAGATGCTGTGGTAAAGTTATGGGCTTCTTGTTAGCGTCTGCCATGTGACTTTTTAATATAAAAATATGCTGAACAATTTTTGATAATAGGTCGTTAAGTTTCTGATTAGGGAACAAAAATACCTTGAATTATTGGAAACTAGACAATTATGGGAGGCACTTACGGTGTTGAGAGAAGAACTTACTCCACTTAATCATAATATTCCACGACGCCATGTGCTTTCTAGGTACATGTCCAGATTATTATTATATACTTTATAATCTTTATATTTTTGATTAGATTTGAGTATTTAGAATTTTTCATTGTGTTATATAACAAATAGCTATATGATGTGCTCAAGTGCGGAAGACTTAAAGAGAAGAGCGGATTGGGATGGTGCAAAAGGAAACTCACGCCAGAAGTTGTTACTGCAACTGCAAAGTGAGTTTTTATGCAATGATCATACCACGACATTTATCGACGTACTTACATTCTGTTACCTACGTAGAATATATTTCCCCGTCAGTTATGGTTCCAGAACATCGGTTAGAAACGCTTTTAGATCAGGCATTAATGCTGCAAAGAATACAGTGTCTATATCATAATTCGGATGACCATATTACATTATATTCGGATCATAATTGCGACAGGTGAGAAAATTATGACACTTTATCTGATATCTATTCACATATAAGTGTATATACGTGTATGAGAATGGTTGTCTTTTTATGGAATGGTAATCTTGCGCTTATTCTATCAGTAGTAATACAGTGTCAGAATTATACGCTCATATTTCATATAAATGTGTTATAGGTCGCAATTCCCGACAGTCACTACCCATATATTTGACCAGCATAAGGATGAAGTGTGGTATGTCGCATTTTCTAATGGTGGAAAATATCTTGCATCGGCTTCAAGAGATAAAACTGCTATTGTATGGAGTTTGGAGGTAACTAAATTTGTAACAATTTTGAAAAAAAAGGTAGCAAAGCATTAACTAACGATTTTCTTTACTTCCCATCTTTTTAATCGACCTTCTCACAGAGTTGGGAGTTGGTTCATATACTTGAGGACCACGAAGACTATGTTTCATTTTTATCATGGTCTCCTGACGATTCAATGCTGTTGACTTGTGGACAAGATAATCTGTTAAAATTATGGGATACAAAGGTAATAAATTATTGCATAATGGATAGGAACTGGATGACGAGAGTATTGTGGGCTGTGATTAATTGAGCGTGCTGCCAATATTTTGCAAAACAGACAGGAAAGTGTCTTATTACAATGTCAGAACATAAGGATGCGGTTACTGCATGTGCATGGCTTCCCGACGGAAAATCTTTTATCAGCGGGTGCCAGGACAAAGTTACAATATTATGGGTATGTTGTAATATTATCCTATTGAATTATCATTAATTTGCTCTAACCAACTTCATATTTTCTCCATATAGAGCCTAGATGGCCATATTCTACATAGATGGACAGGTACACGTCTCATGGATCTCGCGATAAACAAAGAAGGCACTCGCATGGTGGCTATTTGTCACTCCATGAAAATACATATTTACAATTTAATAACAAAGATGGAAGAGGAGTATGTCGAGAAACTTTTCACATCTATCAATATTATGCATTATTGCGCATGGGGCTCATAGAATTTTACTTTTCTAGACCAATTGAAGAGACAGCCCATGTCACATCTGTTTGTTTATCGGATGACTGTAGATATGCTTTGGTGAACCTAGCAACGAGTGTATGTTATGTTTGTGTTATAGTAAAATGACACGTGATTATATGGTTCAAGCATTGACTTTGACCGCTTTACGTAGGAGATACACCTTTGGGATATTGAAGAAAAACATCTGGTTCGAAAATACTTTGGTCAGAAACAAGGGAAATTTGTCATTAGGTCTTGTTTTGGCGGACTTGGCCAAGGTTTCGTTGTCAGCGGAAGTGAAGGTGAGTATCCTCGTAAACCAATGCAACTCCGAGTCATTACTTGACTAATATACACATACGGTATGACTTTTATATTCTAGATTCTAATATCTATGCGTGGAACCGACAACATACTACGCTGCTTGAAGTGTTGTCTGGACATCGTGGAATAGTAAATAGCGTGAATTGGAATCCAGTCGACCCTCACATGTTTGCATCGGCCGGTGACGACCACACAATTCGGATGTAAGTGCATTAAAAGATTTTGACAGGACGTGTTCAAGTCAAATTTATTGCATATTTTCTGAAAAAATTTCTTATTATAGATGGGGAATATCAGATCCTGCTGACAGAAAGGAGAAGATTACAACGGCATGAAGTACTTTTCTGCTATAATTAAAACATCTTCTCACCGAACCTCCCACGCGAACGTACCAATCAATAGACAATTTCAACAATAGGCTGAGTAACTTTTACAAACATTAAAGAGCATTTACATAATCTATTGATAAATATTCATTACACTTGACAGTTGATTTAATGTTTTCATTTGTACATTCTTCAAGTATTGCTGCAATTATATAACGAAAATGTAGACTAGAAGATTATCGTGAACGCTGGAAAGTAGTCACGCGAATTAGCCATGCTTGTATGTGAAGAAATAATTTGGAATCATTAGCTTTTGCGGAAATTGTTAAAAGGTTTTCCTTACATTTTTGGTAACTTCTTTCTTATTATGCCCTTCTCTTTGCTTATTTCTTTCTCCAATAAAGTTGCGTTGTAGATATAAACTCTCTTTGTAATATTAATGGGCATGGGCTGCGCAATACATGTTGATTTTTTATCAAGATTATATATGTTTGTCTGTTTGTTCACTCTGATTGTTCTTCAATCGGTACTCGTCCATTTCTTATCCAGGTAGCTCCTGGCCATAGCTAGGGACAAGAGTCAAACAAAACAATTAGCTTGAAGATCTTGTATTATTTAATCCAACGACATTTTTTCAGACAAACTTACTCTTGCGAATACCTTGCCGCGAATTAATGCGTATGGCACTGGACCATATTCGCGCGAGTCAGTCGAATTACTCATATTGTCACCTTGCAACCATACGTGTCCTCGAGGAACCTTACAAAGGATCGTGAATTTTTTTGTGTGTTGATGAATGCAATCAAACGCAATTTTGTAAACTCAATAGAACGCTTGACTTACAGTTATGTACCTTCGCTCAAATGCTGTTGGATCGGTGCAAATGATATCACCTGGCTAATAATAATACGGTGTTCAGCACATTATTCTTTATGCTTGGGCATAATTTGGTCAACTTACCATTCCAATTACTCGTTTCATTACGGCACGTCTTGGATTCCTTGGCGATATGCACACAACCACGTCTCCAGTATCAATATTCATCAAGCGAGGACTTATTCTCTCATATGCCACAATGTCGTTTATTATATTGAAAGTAGGAAGCATGGATGGACCCATGCACTGTAGATATTGAAAACAACATTAACCTCTATTGTTATGTACGTCGGGTACAGTATTTCTGTTGCAAAACTTACCATGGTAACCGTGCATACATGTTCTTTGAATAAATGTATACAAGCGGCACCTTTTATGATATTCGTTGTAAATCTGGCCAGGCGTTGGAAGTTCATTTGTTAGTAAATACAACTCGTATGTTGATTTAAAGTATCCAATTATATATCTTACCAACAATTGGCGGTTGATGTTTTAAACCAATAGACTTAATTTACTACGGATGATAATGATGTTGGCAGCCAATGGTTGAGCAGTGTTCGATAAAAAGAGCACACCAACAGGCTACGTAACCAAGGCCTCTTCCAGCTTTGCTAAACATCACTGATGCTCTCTCCCTTCCCTAACACCAATACCAATGCTAATATCTAGAGCGTTATTTGGCGGTTTTTTATTTTATGCGCAAATCAAGAGAATTTGATGAAAATATACAAGTCAGTGTACGGTGCTCGAATTCATGAAAAGCTTAACTCGCTCCCTGAAAGGAATACGTTCCGTCTGGATAAGGATTATTACCAATTTAGTAAGTAGGTAAGAGGGTCAATTACTAATCGCATGAACTAACATTCACACTTTACAGTGGATTCTCAAATTAAATGCCCGAGAGTTGCTCTATTTGCTTTCAATTATCCTTTACACTCTTCTCTTCACATCTCTCAAAGTGACAGTTTATTTTGATAGCATTTTATACCGTCATTGGCTTTACCAGCACACAATAATGTTCTCTCTAATACTCGTAACAATAAATTTTTGTGTAACCGTATTTTAACTTATAATTATCGCGTGACTTTTTTTCTCGTAACGCAAACGTCAGTTAAAAGCGGATAATGTCCGCCAGGAAAAACTCGCAAGCGCCCGAGTTGATACGGTTACTTCATGGCATTGCGGATGATCAAGCAAGAAGAGGTTCGTAGAGAACAGAAGAGGCAAGGATTAAAGTTGAATAAATGGTTGTTAATCACAAGTTTTATAAAGGCATATAATTTGTTGATCTAATTAATCTATTTGATACAGAGGGCTTTGTTCATCGTACGTTGACAGACTTGATCAGTGAGAATACGAATGACTATATATTAAAGATGTACTTATATGCTTATAACTAAAGGTGGCATCACATGCAATAATTGCAGTACAGTGAGTTAAAGACGTTATTTACATATAACTCTTGGCCTCGTCATCATATTAAGCAAGCTTTCATTTATCATAGACTCCAATTAGAGGTATCCGCTACAAATGTGCTAATTGCGTAGATTACGACCTATGTGAACAGTGCGAGTCGCAAGAACTTCATTACAGAACACATGTATTCTTGAAAATAAGAATCCCCATTCCACCTTTAGCCAACCCTCGATCTGCGCTATTACACCCTTTTTATCCTGGTGATTGTAAGTAATGGGTGAGAAATTAACAGACGTGACAGCACCTTGATAGAAGGTTGAAAGACAAGTAAGAAAGGACCAGAACCTTAATTTACAAATTTAAAAATTCTAATTCAGGGAAACAAATGCCACCATTATCGAGTCCGGATATAGAGTCAATTAGAGAACTCGAACGTATCACCCATTGTAAGTCACATTTTTTATTGGCGGTAGCAACGAGACACTTCTTTAGTTAAACATAAACATCTTACCTTTCATGTATTCATGACCAGCCGTCGCCTGCGTCCGCGAATATTTTAGCTCGCTCATTTCTCTTACGATTTCAACGTTCCTTATAACTCTCACTAGTCGACTCGGTAGAACTCGAAGGACTTTGGGAACAATACAAGTCGTTAGCTTCTGCAGAAGACGGTATCGACGGCATAGATAAATCAGGATTTGAAGCATGCCTGGGTCCATTGGGTCTTGAGGGAAATATCATAGTCGATCGCACATTCCAATGGTTTGATCAGGACAATAACAAATTGATTAATTTTAGAGAATTTGTATGCGGATTGTCGGTATTATGGAAGGGAACCCTTTCAGAGAAAATTGATTGTAAGTATTGGTGGGGAAGGAAGAAAAGGAAGAAAACGAACGATGAGCCCAGGTTGGATCGGGTTCAATAGTCTTTGTCAAATATTTGTTGGTGTTGTAATTCCTTGAGAATGCTCGGGAAGACTAATATCTTTTAAAAATTTAGTTGCATTTAAAGGCTACGACATAAACAATGAAAAGGCAATTTCTAAACTTGGACTTCGCACCGTGATTAAAGCATACAGCGAAATATCGCGTGTTATGCTTAGTTCAGTGGTTGACATAATTAGTTCACCCTCTCCTTTTGAACATTATTCCTCACTTTCCCACGATTCGTCTTCCTCGTCATCCAATGAATTTGATTCGTCACCGTTCGACACTCAGTTTGATTTTATTCCTTCTCTCGAAAGGATGACGATTTCTGGAATAGACGAAATGGTAGAGACATTATTTAGAAAAATTGATGAACATGGAAAAGGGCATATTGACTACGAAGATTTTTGCGAATACGCAAAAAAGGACAGTTCTTTGGTTGATTGGTACTCTGCATTGGGCACGTCAGTATTATGAATTTGAGTAGTGGGAGCATCGGGGTAATTAGCGTCTAACCTTTTCTATTCTTATTGTATGTAGGATTTTCTGAATTGAAGACTGATTACAATTCAAAATGTCGAAGTAAATTGGAATCCTATATACACTCAATCGAGTTTTCTTTGCAGTACTCGAGGGAACATTTATTATGGCATTTTTCTTTCTCGATACTCTTTTTTGACAATATTGTTTACTTGGAAAATGTGAAATGATAATAATTAAATAACAAAAAATTGAGTTTTCTAATGATGTTATTTGGCAACGATGTACGACACTTGAGAGTCGGCTTCCTTTCTTGTTACCGATCAAGCTAATTCTCTTACTCACTCTTTCCAGATTGTACACAAGAAGGGAGACATATCAGCATTATCCTCCGAAAGTGTTGGGCCCAATTGCGGATTCTTTCAACCCTGTAATGTACTTGATCAGTTTGCAAGAATTTCTCTATGCGATAGTAGAAAAAGTCAGCAATATCAATAAAACGAAACTGTGGATAGATAATAGATCATACGTTTGGGTCAACGAGAACTATAAGGTATATTTATAAGTTCCATTTTCGTGTCGCTACAGCAGATGTATCTGTATGTATATTTTCGCGTCTGTCGTTCCACTCCCTCATATGCTGATAGTGAATGTCAGGATCAGACTTGTCGATAAAAATCATTTTTGATTACATTTGCCGACCCGCCAAAGACATTGAACCAACATCCCAGAATGAATGTGCATCGATTAACCAAATAGGGAAAGCCAGTCCAAAGTTGGACGTTCTGAGCTCATGTATTTGTACCAAAAATTATAACGCAATTATAGATTCTTTTTTGACCAACCAATCATAAATTTTACATTTTATCACGATTTTTTATTGGTCGAAGCTAGTACTTTTTACCTTCTATTATGTCTTGTTTTTGGTGCTCGAACAAATGTTAAGTTCGCACTTTCAGAAGAATATCTTTATTTCTTTTTTGTTTTTTCACCGAGTTGTACATCAAAAAAGACTGTGCCTACTACTCTGCGGCGATCTTTTTTCTAGTATACACATATCGACAGTCATGTTACCATTAACGAATCCTCTCAGCCTGATCATCGAGCCTACGGTGGTGCCGCGCGCAGTTGCCCTAACTGCTTTCAACGATTCGACTCGGAAACTAATCACTTCTTTTGGTCGTTCTTCCATAGATCCTGGTAATAATAATACACCGCATCAGTCTAGCAAGCCAATTGGAGTTTATTTATGTAATCCATCCGTGATTTCATTCTCGGTTGGATTTACTAAGCGTATGGTGCAAAAAGGACGTGAGATAATCATGCCTTATAATATTCAGCCTCTGTGAGAATGTTGTGATTAACATTCACTTTTCGCCTATGCAATAAAGTCACACAAGCACTGCAAGGCAGTGATCAGCAAGTGCCCAATCATCGGAGTACTGTGCATTAGCCTATTCCAATTTAATGTCTATCACATTCTCTGCTTATTTTTACAATGTATGCACAAACACACTCCTACTAATCATCTGACTCTTAAACCCCTTGAGTAAGTCATACGTGATCAACGAGACAATCTCATCACTCTAACCGTTCAATCAATCCCGCTTCCCTTCTTCGTTCAACCACTTAATCATTCGACCTTTTCCAAGACTCCCGCATTATTACAAACAGGCCTTCAATATTTCAGCACGTACCTGCACATACAATCACCTCTCATCGACAACAAGGGTAAATTGCATTTTCACCTTTGACCTTTCTTCGTTCTCCCCTCTTTCTACTTTTGTTATCATTTCTTTATATCATTTCCCTTATTCACCCCCATTCAATTTTACATTTTAATTAAATAACTTTATTATTCTAAACTCGCCCTTCTTATTGTTACCGTCCCTATCTCAACTCCAATCCTGTATCCTATTTTTCGCCTATCCGCTCTTAGATAGTTACATAAATAGAAACGCCAGCACCCACTCAAATGAAACCACTATTCACCTCTCAAACTGCCACACCAACTCACTCAGCAAATCCCAACTCTAACAATTGGGATTTACTTTCCTCCTCGTTCTATCATACGCTAGCAAATTCACTGCCCTTTCGACTGTTGGTGGTTGGAAGTCAAGAGTTAAATAGTGCAAATTATTATCTCTATTATTTATCGCCGATATACTCGAATTTGAAGCAGTTTAGCATTACGAACTTGTTATTGGCGTACACTCTACCATTATTGTATATATTTTCTCCGACGCTGGTAAGAGAGCGGAATAGGTTGGGGAGGAGGAGTGAGGGGAAGGCAAAAGTGTGTTTGGGTAAAACTTGAAAGTAGTTAGTTATGGCGATCGTTATCATAGCAATCAAAGTATAATAGTAGAGGAGCGTGCACAAGAACTTCGATCAGGCATATGAAGGACATCAAGACACACCAACCAAAAAAAAAAGTCTCATCACCTTATTACGTTCTTTGCATATGCTGCGCACGCTCAAAATTACATTCACTCATCACCGACAGCACGCACAAGATACATGTTCAAAAATCAGACGCGCGATTGCTCGTTCGTCAATGATCACTCGATAACAAGACTCCAAATCAGGGGCGATTATGTCATTATTTCTATGTGGATGAGGTCACTTTAGTTTAGAAAAAAAAGGCAACTAAAAATAAATACGAATACGAGATCCATACTGATAAATTTTTCGCTTTTTCATTCTTTCTCATCACTTTTCCCTTCTTATTCTTTTTCATTTCATTTTTTTTCCCTACTCCCGTGATCCATTTCTCACATTCTTTTCCAATTTTCCCAAGATTGTCCCGGCAATCTTTGTCAAATCACTGCAATTTCTTGCATCAAAAACCGCATCCATTTCTTCTACCATTTCCCTTCATAAAACCTCATCCACAGCTTTCTTCAACGTGTCTTCTCTGACGAACAATATTTCTTCCGCTTCCTCATCGCCTCGGAGCGATAACGGTGGTGGAAGTGATTTGAGTGTACAGGATATTGAATACTGGCTGCAGAGATGTTCGATCTGTTTTGACGCACAGTTGGACTTCTGCTTGGACTTTTGCCGGGATCAGTTTTGTCGCGAATGTTTTCAGAGGTCAAGTTTCAAGGCGAAGGGAATGATAGGAGTAATTAGACAAGTTTTCGATGGAGGGGAGGGAGAGAACCCTTGCTTATAATTGAGAGAGAAGCAGTATGCTGCGGTCTGAGGATTAAAATTTTCTAATGTCAGAGTATTAACCGAAAACAATCTCATTAATGATTTACAGATATGTAAAAGAAGTAGTGCAGAATTCATGGGGACTAAGCATTACAAAAATCAAATGTCCAGTGTGTCAAGACGTTATTTCTCAGTCAGAATGGAGCAGAGTAAGAGATTATTTGATGCAATGGATCTCTTTCATTGATTTTTTGGCAATCGGATATTGATATGTGTTCGATATCACTTGTTTAGTACGTTGACCAGAGCATTATAGACTTATACAACACATACAACAAACCATATCGCTCATTCTCCAGGTGTTGTGGAGAGTGTGGCGAAGAAGTTTTTGCAGCCAGTGTGGTACATGCATATGGAGAGGAGAAAGCGAGGTAAGCTAACTAATAATTGTTTACAAACACATGAAGCAGATTTCTGCGCATTCGGAATCACACCTCCCCCCGCCCCCAACGCGAAATGGGCGTCCTTTTTTTTTTCACACGCAAATTTATTATAATTCTCAAATTCTCCAATCGTTCCTCACCCGAATTAGACATTTCCATGAAATCTCCTATCTCCTTCACCAGTTCCTTCAAACTTACATTTCACCTACAAAAACAACTCAGACCAATATTCATAACGAAATAAACCAATTCCTGTCCCGCTTCAAAGCCGATTACACCGCTTTTCTTGGAGGGACAAGCGTGAACTACGGTGTACTCGAGATGTATGATTACATTGCAGACAAGTTGGGAGAGCGCCTCGGACTGAGGTAAACGGGAAGATGATTTTGATTGAGAATGAGGTTTTGGGCTTGGGTGAAAACGAGCTTTGTGTTATTAATTCAAAAATTGCGCGGGTAGATTGGACGGTAGTGGAGGACAAATCCAATCTAAAATGACAAGAAGGAGATCAAAGATCTATGGAGAGATGGTTAAAGCAGCAGCAGAAATTTCAGCTAGGCTCGTTGCGTTGGAGGCTAGACCGGATCCATGGAGACAACTGCAGTTTTTGCATATAGCGAATTTTCCTCAGTCACGATGGTATTGTATTTCCGTTAATCTAATTTTATTATTTCCTTTTTTATTGTTATAATCTTACGTTTGTTCGCAACAATTTGCGCATCTCTTTGTGTTAGCACTCGTTGTACAGCCGATCTCTGTTTACAATGCGGTGAACCGTCGCATCACGTCGGGATGTCCTGCACTCAGTACATGCGCCACCGTGTCTCCAACTCTTCGCTCTTTTTTTCATCCATGACTCATACAACTCCCAACAACTCGCCGGACGCGCTTGAGAATATCAAGTGGAAGTTGGCAAACTCGAAATCCTGTCCGAACTGTTCTATCTTGATCAACCGTGATGATGGTTGCAACAAGGTGGATTGTTTGCATTGCGGGTATAGATTTTGTTGGGTCTGTAGGAATGGGTGGAGTGAAAAGTGTGGATTTTATCAATGTCGCTCGGGAGAAAAGGTGAAGAAAGGTAAAGGCAAGGAGAAAGGAAGGAAAGTAAGGAGAGAGAACAGGGACGGAGTTAATGAAAAAAATGGCGCGGATGATGAGCACTATATGGAGGGTTTGATGCGTGATGAAGAGGATATCGGCGATGATGAAGATATGGGAGATGAGTTTGGCGGCGATAGCAGGCTTGGTGATAGAGTAAGTCTCGACAAGTTTTTGATTTGTCTTTTCGTTCGTTTCTATATTGACTAAAGCGTAATTTGTATATGCATATACTTTTTTAATTACAAAAGCCTGAAATTGGAGTTCCAAATGTGTTTGTAATCCAGGCAAAGTTCATGGGCGCAACAAGCACTTCATGAAAAACCAGTTTCACCTCCACTCTAGACATCTAAATAGACTCGAGTCTCTTTTCGTGACAGATATTGCTGGCACATGTCTCTCGAGCATTGTATAATCTCCCTTTGTTATATATATTGTTTAATATGTTTTCACTACTTTCTTCTCCTTTGTTTATAGTTTATGTTCCTTCCACTGACTTTTTTGGTTTGGTGATTGACCGGTTTTCAGAGAATAAAAATGCATGATGTGATCATATGGCTATTCAATAGAGTACCAGGCACGTTGTCATATTGTTTGATTGAGTAATTGACTAGTTTCCGCTCTCAACTTGTTTATTCTGATCACTCTTTGCAACTCTTTGGAATAAAAATGTCCGTCTATCAACTCTCCTGGAGTTGGATTTACTTTAATTTAAGGGCAGAGTAATGAATACCCACCAGTTCGGGTTTATCACTAAATACGAGTGCTCTAATGTCAAGTATAGTACTAATAAGCATTTTTAGGTAAAAGTATATGGCAACATAGTATGGAAGGAAATAAGGATTATAAATGTTGTCTAAAAAAAAAAAAGACAAGGTTTAGTAAGGGTTGTTAATGAATATGTCATAATGCAGAGTCAATTTGCAAAAAAAAAAAATTTAAGTTTCCATTTCCCTCTTCCAAGGTTTTACTTACATAATGAATTATTCTCGTTATATTTCCTGTTAGCATCCAGATCGTTATGATCGACTGTTCTCCTCGTCAAGTCGTAAGCTATTAATGCAGTCGTGATAATACAGTATAGACACATAACAATCCTTTGGATGTGGCCGCGAGTCCACTTTCTAAATCTAATCAACCTATTCGGAATACTCAACAAATCTATTTTCTTCTTCTCGTTAATGACATAGCAAAATAAAAAGAAGGGTGAATTCCACAGGGCGGTGAAGGTTGCTGGATAGCCACATCTCCTACACTCGATAGCAATGAAGATTGATATCAAGGTCCCGATTATAAAGTAGAGGACGGCCCCACCAAACAGACTCCACGCGAGCCTCGATGCTGCGCAAAGGTCAATGTCTGACTGGAAATTTTCTGATTCGCATGCGTGAAAGATGAAAACGTTTAATGCATTTGGCTGAGCAATGCTTTCGGTGGCCTTGGTGACTATGTGTCGAGAGAGAACTACAGCGTTTGTTATGATCAACTAAGAAATCAAAAGTTAACAAAGGGGGTTAGTTGATGGTGTTTGTGTGGGTAAATTTATACTGAAGAAGGAAAAATATTGCATAATAGTGCATAAAAATATATAGAGATAAACAACTAAAATAAATAACGCCCAAACTATCACAGCCCAATAACTACTGCGACACTACTAGACTACTGTTAGCCCAACAAAAAAAGTATAACAATTGTCTCTCTTTTTTGTCCCTTCCTTTCCAGCGTTCTAGAGGAAATTCGCCAGAGAATTTCCAACAGACGTATAGTTTCTTTATCGAGTTTTCCTTTTGAGCTTGGTAATATCAGCTGATGATCATGATAAATTTGATCGTATACAATTTCTTTCTAACCTAAATGTTCTTTTGCCCACCCCCCCACATGAAGGGGGGTTTGCTACATAGAATTCCTACATAGAATTTCTCCATGCGACAAAAGCATTCTCTCTCTTTACAAAGATACTCACTTCCCAGAATGGTACGATTCTTATCAAGGTCTCAGCCTGCGTAATAACACGTCCGTATTCCGGGTGTCTAAATTCAAACCCGCGTGCGTCCGTGTTAGTCATTAGTGGACCCGCCTCCGATGCAACGCTGCCGGCGCCGACGAGGTTGTCTGTGCTGTATTGACGGTTGAGATTAGCGACCGACTGTGGTGTCGAGGGCGGTTGTCCCTGGACATTGAAGGGGTGAGCAGGAGTGCCGTATGAATTATTATTGTAAGAGTTGTCGGTTGGTGGGTAGTTGCCTCGCTGGTATGGATAAGACATGGTGATGAAAGGTTATGGGGGTGGGGTGTATTTTTTTTTTCTGCTTCTTCTCTAAAGAATGTACAAAGGAATAATAAGTTGCGAAGAGGCTTTGAAGAGTTTGGGAGAATTAATGTGGCATGTGAGTCGGGGTGGAACAAATGTGGCAAGCGAAAAGGATGAAGAAAACTGGATTCTTTTGTGGAGCCACATTTTTTTTAAATGTGCGATTGTTTTCCAATGGAAGTAATAGAAATTCATTAAATATGATAAAGTATATTAAAAAATTCAAACAATATCTCATTTACAGCGCTATAATAACTAAGCCTAAATATAAACCATTACTAATTTCTACTAATCACTCAATTGGTTATGTCATTCTCCCTTTTTTGTACTCAGCGCCACGACATAGAAAAGAGTTCAGGAACAAAAAAAAGCATTACAACATTCATGTTTCGTGTCTCATGTTTCTTGGCACCTTCCATATGACAAACTCAAAGTATATATATATACCGGCTGAAACTGAAATTTTATCTTGTAGAAAACCCAAAGAAAAAAATTTTTCATAGTTTTCGTCTCGCTCTCTCTCTATACCTCGTTACCCTAACCCTAACCATCCGCCCTGATAATATATAACTTACGAACTTACGAAAACCCACACACAGCCTTGCATAACTTTTTCTCGAGGCTTTGCTTGTAACCAATAAACAATAGCAACTATAGCAACAACTGCAACAACAGTAACAACAGTAACAACAGTAACAACAGTAACAACAGTAACAACAGTAACAACAGCATTCACTCTCAAACATGGCCCCAGCTGTAACTGCCTTGTCCACAGCCTCAGCAGAAATTGTTACAAATTCTCTTACCATTAGTAACCTTGTAGAGGAAGCATTCTATATAGAAAACTTGGAAGAGTTACGAGCTCAACTAGAAGCCCATGGAAAACTGTACAAATTCGTACCCGCAAAAAGTATCAAGCGGATTTTTGTTGTATATTATAGCACTGCAGATGCCAAGACTGCAAAGACATATTGTGATAGGAACATATTCTTGGGAAAAGCCATGCGGGTTTACTTTGCCCAGGTAAAAAAAAAATTAGAATTGGGGTTGAACCTTTTTCCTGATCAATCGCTTCAATCGCTTCAATTGTTCTTACCATATTTATTTTTATTGATTACCATTTATATTATGTTATGCTCACATGATTCGTATAGCATACGACAATCTATGACGATTCCGACAATTCGAGGCATCTTAATGTACCCCAAATAGATAGACACTTTCTTATATCTCCGCCATGCTCACCACCACTCGGATGGACATCGGTGCCCGAAACTGGTCCGAATTCAACGACTCTCGCCGATGACCTCTCTCATGCATTTGCGAGATTATCACCAAATAGTCTGATTCCGAGAGTCATTGATGACGAAGAATTGCACAATTTCTCTTTGGATGATGATAGCATGGAAGAAGTAACAAGCGTTGGTGATAATAACGTATGCTGTAACGCATGTGAGAATAATCTAACAGATAGCGATAGGAGGATTATGGATCAATCGCGAGCTCCGGGACTAATTGTAATTTCAGCAGATGACAACTCGGATAGCGAAGCAACAACGCCGAAAAATGATTTATCCGTTCCTGCAATATTAATTCAGGACTGGGATACCCCCTTCTCTGTTCCTACGATCCAACGTTCAATGGTGTTACCGCAGTCATCAAAAGCATCGCTTTCGCCTGCTCTGTTAAATCAAAATTCTATGGTTACACCACGTCCTCGGATAATGCCTACTGCACGACCACCCGTATATTAGAATTTTTTTTAGATCAAATAAAGAGTAGAAAAGAGAGGGGAGCAACCATAGGAAAGACACGCAAGAGTAGTTTAGAATTGCTTGAAGGTGACGAAACCGCCCACAACACGAACGGGTTATATATCGAACAGGGGAGCAGAGCTTTCTTTGGGTTATGACCTCAATCAACTTTAACTGTAATTATTTGTAGTTAGTGTTTATGGTTTTTCCACTTGTTACCAAGCAGAACTTTACAATGTGAGGGAAACAAAAGTGTGTATATTGGTTTGTCTTTATTTTCGAGTCTAGGCAATTTTTTCCGTAATTGATTGCTTTGAATCAAGGCACTGGTTATTTTGAAAATAAAAAAGGCCCCACTCGTAATGAACATGTATTTCTTGTGTATCCATCGATAATTTATTATTGGTTATAAAATTGGTAATAGCAATGATATACCGGACAATAGAACGTTCCAAAAAGAGTCATATGTTCAGTGCTCTTAGTTCGTAATTCCCTTTGCATGTAATAATTAGGCAATTGTTCCGAAGCCATAATTTAAAATTCTCTGTGCAAGAATTTCTTGAAAGAAAAGGATTTCTGTATAACGGCAGTGATCAGGGTTTCTATGCGTTTGTCTCTATTTTTTGATAATTACAAGTCTGAAACACAATTTAAAACATCCATAGTTGGTCATTATTACTGCTTAATTACAATGACTGCTGAGTCGATACAGTCGACATTTTTGTTTATCTTGTTTTCTCGATTTTCTTTCCATTTGCTAAACTATAATATATTAGTAAATTTCGCCCGATGCAAATCTTCCACTTTAGACAATTTAAAATATTACATAATCTAAAATAGTTGCAACCTTACGAATTAGGTTATGTGTGCAAACACTATATTTTGGTAAACTTTGTCACGATTACTATTTATGTACGCACGACAAAGAACAAAAAGTGGTACGGATTGCATGCATTTCGAAGTATGTGCACAGCCCCGTTAAATGTGACACGATGAAATTGCTTTATAATACTGTAATAACTCGCGATATTATCGGTAAATATAGTAAATGGCGAAATATGCTGACTGGTGACTAATCACGGTACGAGAAAGTTTATCATAATAGGATTTGTATCCCCAACAGTGCTTTGGTCAACAATGCGTTTATGATGACATATTTTAAATTTTAACGCATTATAATCAACCTTTCATGTTGGTAACGCACCATTTGACGTACATTCCATAAAATACTCAAAGTAATTTGGTTTTTTTTTAGATCCAGGTGAACCATAGAACTTCCCCTAAACAGCAACCTCACATCGGTTCGCTTTCAATTAAAGTAAACCTGTAGCTTTGTTGGCCAATCATATTAATATTACATTACGGCCCAATCATTTACTTGCATTGTTTATTAGGATATATTGAAAACTTCATGACGTTACTGCCTTGGTTACTTGTTGCATACTCTTCTCTCATCGCCTTGACCGCATGTTAGAGACGTCAGTATAGTAACACAAATTATACACAATTGTTCATCGCTTTTTAAACTTTTGTAAAATTTGCAATTTCTGAAACGCACTTTAGAATTTTGATTTACCAACACGCGTTAAAACGCTAGTTAATTTATATAATGTTTTAAAATACGATGATGTTGCTGCTTTGGCTCAACAGATAAAATTGAGTAGCTCATTTTAATCGTAATTTTGAATCACCTACATTCTTTATTGCCAGAATGAACTTTGTATATTTATAACACTGTTACGTTTAGCTATTCACACATTCCGTGAAGCATATAAATCTAGCAACATTCTAGCAACATGTGGCCAACCAGCAAATTTGATTGAATTTGCAAGCTAAAGAAGAGTTTATATAATTCTCTCACTATCCAGAGCGCTGTTGTTAGAACGTGAGCCTTCCACCCAGACTTTTACATGCAAGCCAGGCAAATATTTTACACATTATTTGAATTATGTTCCAAAAACGCAAATCACCAACAGCCAAGGAAAATTATAACTTTGAAATGTCATTTCGATAAATAAAAGCTCAATTATTCGATAATGTTTCAATCTCTGGCGAATAAATTTGTTACTTTATCTTTTCTCGTGTCGTGGAATTGGTCATTACAAATTATTTATGTCACCCAGCAATCAACCAAGAAATAAACCAATTGATATATAATACTTTTCCAGAGATTTTTTGTCGATAAAATTCGGTTTATTAACACAATGTATTGTTTAACGCGCTTTGGTACATTAAAAGTAAAACTAGGACTGGGTTTTGTTATCCGTTCGTTAATTAATAGCATACAATTCGCGATGACCTCTACATATATTACGTGATCTACAGTATATCTAACATCAAACTGGTATGAGAGAATTACAATATAAATAGTTTGCAGAATAAAACAAATGGTATTTTACAAAAAAATTTAACCTGCAAGCATTACGGGTTTAAGACTGAAAAATTCTATAAAAAAAATACAAAAAGGGCGAACATTACGCAGTCAGTAAAGACGTTTATAACTGCGATGAGTGTGTTCATTAATAGAATACAAAACATTGAACCTACAAATTAAACCGCCAGTTTCAAGACTAATTTAGCACCCGAAAATGCGTCTACACTTTCAGAGTAGGAATAGGACAGTTATAAACATCCACATGAAAATTTTTTGATAATGCAAAATTATAAGGATAAACTGATGACGAATCTTTTTTCAATGAGTAAAATTTTAATAAAATTTTTATTTGCATAATCTGATATATTTATCTTTTACACCAAATTATAATAAATATTTCAAATACTATATAACGTTAATATACAGTCAAACCTGTTTATACCGGACGGTTTGGTCCAGCTCTTAGCGTCCGGTATAACGAGATTCCGGTATATGTCCATATACCGGAAAAAAGAAGAAATCATGTGATTTTCGGTATATAGAAATGGACCAATAGTATGTTGTTATTTATTTATATATCAGAAAGCATTATGTATACAAGTATGTGAATGTTAGCCCTTATTAACATAACTATCTAAAGTTTTCTGTTTAAGACTCTCTGTGTATTTTAATTCCATTAATCTCTGTACCCTATAAAGTACAGTAATGTCTTCTCGCTGAATCTCCGGCCCGGTTGAATACTGTAAAAATTGTGTTAGCGTTTTCAAAGCAGTAACTGCCTGGTGGAGAGAGATGGTTGGTCTTATTTCCGCTTCTTCATTTGTATTACTCTCAACTTGTGTATCGTTTTCCTCAAGAATTACTTCAATTATCTCCTCATCCGTAATCAATTCCTCCGCAGGAATATTGTTATCACAAGATAAATATTCTATAACACAAATTTCAATTATATAAGTAATTCGCTATGCATTGGATTAAGATTATTTCATAATTTACCTTCAACCGATATCCAGTTATCATATTAATATGGCAATTTGTTAAACAGTCTCTCCATAGATACAAAGTCATCAATCTGCTCTTCCTCAGAAGCTCCGTTTTGATTTATCAGATAAAGGTTGATCTTTACGTCTTTTTATTACCATTTTATAAAATAAAGCAAGAGATATAGCGACAGAAATATAATGAACTCATATCGTAAATACGCCGTATCACGTGTTCTTTCCGGTATAAAGAAATTTTTTTATTAGTAATTTGCACTAGCCGATCCTTTAAAATTCTTCCGGATGCGGTATATGGAGATTTATAAGAGATTTCCGTTATAAACAAAGAATTTTCATATGGAACGAACGGTGCACAAGAATTTGTCCGATATAAAGAGATTCCGGTATATACTCGTCCGGTATAAACAGGTTTGACTGTATAATAATACCAATATTATTGTATTACAATTAAATTTAAAACTAAAATTACATAACGAGATAAATGATCGTAAGCTATTGCTCTCGCTGGTTTCTTGTCTCTAAGCTTCCAGAACAGATCATTAATTAATAGCAAAGTAGTTATCGTATGGGTCCCTCGAGCTCGTTTCCACTACCGCGTGTACCATTGGATCCGATCACCCCGCGAACCCACCAGGGGAAAGAAAAAGGGGGAAGAAAGAAAAAAATAGAAAATAGAGTTAGTGATATCGCGTGAAACAATGCAAACTTACCTTTATAATTTCCAAAACCTTCTACCCGTCACCTAAAGCTGTGTGCAGTAAAAAAAGAGAAGAAAGGAGATGTCCGAGTGTGATCCGGGCATCCCCCGTGACTCACTTCCTCAGGACCCGTGCCGGGATCACATCACCGCCGGTGTCACACGGAAAGTGGCGAGACCCGTAACTACTCGCTATTCGTTCTTGATCCGCATCCTGTCCGCTGGTGGAGACAAAAGACTAATCTAGATAAGCAAGTTTGTGGTGCAATAGCTTCGATCGATAAAGCTGTAAAAAAGAGAAAAAAAATTTGCAGATAAGTAAGTGACGGTATAATTGTTGAAAAAATATCGAATATATGAATAGTTAACGATGTACGTACAATAACGACCTTTCCAAAACTTCTTCGTACGTGTGTGTATGGGAGTGGTAGTAGAAGCTGGTCGCGTTGCATATTTAAATAACTTTGTTGGGCGGAATGACTTGTTTGTGTTGCGTCGTATGTGCGGTCAAATGCTTACGAGCTAAACTCGCGTCGATTATGTATCGTTATTGAGTATTAAGAGTTTCGCCGCCATTAATGACTTGCTTGTGTCGTATTCGTAATAAAGAGTTGTGATTGAACACTCCCATTTGTATGGCCGTTAAGGGTTTCGTCATCGTCAATGGCTTGTCGTTATCGAGTTGTGATTCCACTTCTCCCATCTGTTAAACGGTCGCTACTGAATGTTAAGAA